TATGATCGTTGGTTTAATCTAACTATTTTTTGTCCCAGAATACGTAATTTAATGTATGACCTATATTTTTGTTACACCCTGTATATACCGGAAATCTTTTATTTGATAATCATCTTTCATTCTAATAATTATTGTTAGACCTTTTTTTGTTTTTTTTTGTTTCGTTACTCACTATATATTAGTAAATATTGTCTCATTATGGTTTGTCCTTTAGCTTTCCTCTTTGTTTCCTCCAAGTCTCTGTTAATGACCAGATGACCATCTTGTATGATCGTTGGTTTAATCTAACTATTTTTTGTCCCAGAATACGTAATTTAATGTATGACCTACTTTTTTGTTACACCCTGTATATACCGGAAATTTTTTATTTGATAATCATCTTTCATTCTAATAATTATTGTTAGACCTTTTTTTCTTTTTTTTTTGTTTCGTTATTCACTATATATTAGTAAATATTGTCTCATTATGGTTTGTCCTTTAGCTTTCCCCTTTGTTTCCTGCAACTCTCTGTTAATGACCAGATGACCATCTTGTATGATCGTTGGTTTAATCTAACTATTTTTTGTCCCAGAATACGTAATTTAATGTATGACCTACTTTTTTGTTACACCCTGTATATACCGGAAATTTTTTATTTGATAATCATCTTTCATTCTAATAATTATTGTTAGACCTTTTTTTCTGTTTTTTTTGTTTCGTTATTCACTATATATTAGTAAATATTGTCTCATTATGGTTTGTCCTTTAGCTTTCCCCTTTGTTTCCTGCAACTCTCTGTTAATGACCAGATGACCATCTTGTATGATCGTTGGTTTAATCTAACTATTTTTTGTCCCAGAATACGTAATTTAATGTATGACCTACTTTTTTGTTACACCCTGTATATACCGGAAATTTTTTATTTGATAATCATCTTTCATTCTAATAATTATTGTTAGACCTTTTTTTGTCTCTTTTGTTTCGTTACTCACTATATATTAGTAAATATTGTCTCATTATGGTTTGTCCTTTAGCTTTCCTCTTTGTTTTCCGGAACTCTCTGTTAATGACCACATGACCACCTTGTATGATCGTTGGTTTAATCTAACTATTTTTTGTCCCAGAATACGTAATTTAAAGTATGACCTACTTTTTTGTTACACCCTGTATATACCGGAAATCTTTTATTTGATAATCATCTTTCATTCTAATAATTATTGCTAGACCTTGTTTTGTCTCTTTTGTTTCGTTACTTACTATATATTAGTAAGTATTGTCTCATTATGGTTGGTCCTTTAGCTTTCCTCTTTGTTTCCTGCAACTCTCTGTTAATGGGGCTTCTTATGTTGTAAGTAGCCACTCTCATTATATTTTTCGATTTCCAGTACTTCATCCTTTTTCTCGCTTTTGTTGTTATCATATTTTCTGTCATAATCTGTGGCTGTTCACCGGTTCTTTGAGTACATATTTGTTAATTTTTATATGTCTGGCAGACTGCTTATCCAACCGTAGAACTTTTCTCCTTTACTTGGGCTTGAGATCGGTAAGATCACTAATCAAGCTACTAGATCACCCAATATAAAATACAGTATGATCGCATTTATTAATGGTCACATGTGTTTGATTTACCCGTTTAAAATAGTCTCATTTATCAAGGATGCTATTATCAAAAAATTCTAAGCATACTCACAATAATAAAAATTTATTTTTATGATAGTTTCAACAACAAAATAAAACTGCCATAAACTTAATATTTTATTTTAAGATCTTATTTATATACAAAATGCATTAAGTGAAAAATGTATTCATGGAAGTTTCATGTAACCTGGCTCACAAAAATATTACGTTTTTATTCATATTGCTATGGTTTGCCGGACTTGATGATCTAATTCATTTCCCTATAAATTAACCTTGGACGAAGTCCGAAAACAGTTTTTCTCAAGAAATAAGTATCATTACATGTAAGCTATTAATAAACAAACAACAAATTCTCAATTTACAAGGCTATAATTGCTCAAGTGAAAAAATGGTATTGTAGAACATATATTTTTTATGTAATTTAGAAGGAAATAAAAAGATAAGTTCATATATTTTGGTTAATACTAACGACTGTCATGACCTCCTTCAGCAGAACAATTCTTTTAGTTAAAGGGAACCTATAACGTGAATGTAATTGAATGTAAATTAGATTATAATATATGTATAAATTAAGTACTGTAACAAATCGAATAAAAGCAATGTAGCATATGTGTACTGAATATACTAAATTCAGAAATTTTTTATTTAACGTGGATTTATTGAAATTAAGTAAATGAAGTCAGACTAAAGATAGTTAAATCTTAAAATGTGAAAATGTATCTTCCTAACATCACACGTTCATAATATTCCGTTAACAAAATATTTGCTTCGGCAGCCGTCTCGAAAATAAAACTTTGAGTATGATTTATTAAATCGAAAGTTACATTTTACACAACTCGCAACTTACCGAAAGCAGCTACTTTCGGGAATAATTTTTTCACTCTCGGGACGATTTTGGGTAGCTAGGTAATGGCTTTAATAACGTCAACTTTATATTTTATTATGACAACGCTTGTTATTTAAGATTCGTGTGTTTTCGCCCAGTTTTTGGTTTTTCAATGTCAAGAAATGGAAATCAGTAGTGAAAGTGAAGCCAAAATGATTTCAGATGAAATTATGAGATTAGGAAACGATTTCATCCGCCATTTATGAATTTCTTAAATTATCGCATCCCAAAGAATACATCGGGCCCTGTCTACGAAAGAGCTCAGCCATCTTACTGGCTGATAGTGGTGGTACTACAACCAACTTGAAAAGACACGGAGAATGGAAATCAATTCATGTAGCAAAGGGATACGTAGAAAATTTTTTAAGAAATAAAATTCACATTAGCTTCACAGATTGAATATGGCCGCAACCAAGTTATTATCTCAAAAATTAGTCACAGTACTGACATGTCTAACAATAATTTTAATACTACCACTTCTGTTAATATTTCTAACCATATCAATGTAAATAGTTGATATAATTGTGATATTAATATTCATAAGTAGATTTTTTCAATGTTGAATTTACGACAGAAACTTTAAAGTATTTAAGTAAAGTTTATCCATTGGAAAAGAAATTACACAAAAAAGTTTTATTCCAACAGATTGCTTAAAGTTTAGTTTTAAATGTTAAAAATTATTTTCTGAAGAGCAAAGGGCATAACCCTTTGTGTATATTACTACAGCTTAGCAAAATATACGAGAAAAAAAAAGGTATTGAGATCTTGAATACAAATAGTGGCTATATCTAGAGACTAATAAAGCCCTATAATAAAAAATCGAAAAGTGTCAAAGTTATGTTATTTAATGGACAATAAAGAGCAAACACTTACTGTTCCAGAAATGAACATATAGTTTTAAAATATAAAATAAAAATATAATTCTTTGACTTTTCTTAGTGTAGAATAACTAGAAGTCACTTTATCAAGTTTGAAGGCGACGGATTGGCGTCTAACATCTGTTAAATATTTTTCACACCTAAGCACTTTTCCCATTTTTACGCATTATGTAGTGTTTATTAGTTCAGTATCAGCCAGCTCAGCCCTAGTCCCAGTTCGACACATGGCCTCGAGTAGGCATCACTTCACAATTCACGTATTTAAATATTTCCTCTCCGCCGAAATCGGGCATTTTCTCATGTTTATTTCTTATAACGGTTTATTTTACGTGTTATAAAGAAAGAGTACATTTGATATTGTACAGTAAGTTACAGCCGTGTTGGGCCTCTACTCTTAAAGGATTTAATTATAAATCAATAAACTCAAAAGTGCTTTTATTTCTCTGGAGCTATAATTGCTCAAGTTAAGAATCCTTATCTTTCAACGGTCACTGAAGATCCAAACCTATGGAGATGCATCCATTCACAAATCCTTTGAACTAAGGCTTGGAATCAAAAAATTTCCAACTCTCACGATGTAGGTAGCCAGTTATAAAGCTCCCTCACTTAAGTTTCAAGTTTTTTATATCCACGTTTGCTATATCTCGTAAACTCGTCGAGAAGTATATTAAAGAAATGATAAATAAGAAAATTTTAGTCAGGTATGTTTAAAAGAAGAATAGCTAACGCAACAATGCAACTGTTGAGATATACCGGCAGCAAATTAAGGATTATATTAACTTATTTTTAAGAATTGAGTCACATTACTGCAGGCGTGATTTAACTAAAAACTATCTGCAGATAGTTTTTAATGCAGATTTAAACATTTCCATCATGTATCTATTATATCCAGACTTTGAAATTCTAATAGTGTCAGGTCTGGTCTCAACGTTTGTGTATCAAAGTATTTTTTATGATTTTGAAATGACTTTTACATTTTATAATCCAAAAAAGGATCAGGGTCCGGTATGTAAAGCATTCAAACAGTTTACGAAAAAAGAGCATAAAAGAGTCAAAAAACGGTCGATGGGTATGAAAGAAGAGGACAAAATATGGCATCAGTCGTGATTTTTTGACTTAAACATTTTAGTATTCTTTAAACTCTAAACTTTAAACTATAAACATAAACTACGATGGCACTAGTAGTAAATTAAAATCATCAAATTTGAAAATTTATTTATGAAAAGGTTGTCTATAAAAATTGATATCACATTTTAAGATGGGGGACCTATATATTCGTATTTGGCAAAAAATTTTACATAAGACAGAATATTTTTCAGCTATCCACCCTTAGATGCATACAGACAGGTACCCTACTAAGGGACTATAACGGATTCTCTCAGAGTTGCTAGTTTCACGAGAACTTGACTTGCTGTTGGGAAATATTAATGTGTATTTTGGTATTTTAATGATCAAAATTTTTAATTTGGTAGGTTCTCCCAACTTTTTATTGTGTCTGTATGCCTGCGGTCCCCTCAAAGTGAGTAGTAGGTATAATATAAAACATATTTTTCGTTTAGTTCTAAATTTTTTAACTTATATACATTTATACTATACTCACTTATTAAATTTTGTTTTAGTTGAATCCCATCAACAAAGTAAGAGATCAACGTTTTGTCCTACTTCGTCACAATGCGTGCCTCTATCCTCTTGTCCAATTCTAAGCAATCTTATAAATACGGATTGTTTATTAAACAATAAGTAAGTTTCACAGGTAAATATAATAGAATAAGAATAAATATTGGCCTTAAATGTAAAGAAAAGTATTATAGGTAATATAAATTTAATTTCATTGACTAATAAACTTGATTTAATAAGTAAATAGGAAAATTATTTCTGTAAAAACCAAATAAATAAGAATACGTAATGCTTTTCTAAGCTATGATAAAGTAGATAGATATCGATATGATAGCAATAGTCGGTTTTTAATAAACAAATATGTCAAACGATATATAACGATATATTATCAAAGATAAGGGTAATTGTGTTCCAATCTTAGAACAAATTCAATACATTGAGAAAGTAGAATCTTTTCTTTCAGATAACAGTTTCGTAGTTTTGGAAAAAAATCCACTTAACACCTTTATTAATAAAACAAAAGCAATGGTTAAATTGTATAATGACACTATTACTAAATATAACAACAGAAAGTTAACTGTATCTAATCCTATAACACCTAGGTTATATGGACTTCCTAAAATCCATAAACACAATGGTCCCATAAGGCCTGTAGTAAGTTTTTGTAACACTCCAGTTTCTATTTTATCAGAGTTTATTTACAACACAATTCAGTCTATCACTAATTTTAAACCTAAGTTCTCCATTAAAAATTCTTGAGATCTAATGGAACGTTTAAATAACATTAGGATAGAAGAGGGTTTTTATTTAGTTTCTTTTGATGTTTCCAATTTGTTTACTTCTGTACAGAGATGAAACATTACCTTTAGTACACAACCTTTTAGACAATTGCAACATATCTGCAAAGGATAAAGATGCTATATTAACTATGCTTAAATTCTGTCTAGATCAGGACTTTTACCAATTCAATCAAAAGATATATAAGCAACCAACAGGTTTAGCAATGGGATCTCCATTATCGCCTTTTCTAGCTGATATTTTCTTAGACAGCTTAGAACAGAAGTTTGTTAATAACAACAACAAAATAGTCTTTTTGTCAAGATATGTAATAGCTCTCATACAAGGAACCCAAGATGATGCTTTACAGATTCTGGATGATCTCAATAACCTCCATCCTAACATCTCTTTTACTCTGGAACCAGAATCTGACAATAAGTTGAACTTCTTGGATATGACTATTTCCCGTAATAAAGATTCTTTAAAGTACATTTATAGAAAACCCACCCAAACAGATCACCTTATACATGGAACGTCTAATCACCGAACTCAATATAAAATGGCTGCTTTCAACAGTTACATTCATCGGTTACTTAAATTTCCTCTTTCTGATGATAATTTTAATACAGAACTTAATACTCTTAAGCAGATTGCTTTCAATAATGGCTATAATCCTAACATTATATACAAACTTCTAAATAGAGCTAAACTAAAAATTGCAGAAAATCTTGCATATTGATCACAGTTTTTTCAACCTAATGCTTCAGATACCATCAGATATTTCTCCTTCACTTATATTAGTAGCATTTCCAATAAAATATCTAAACTTTTTACTTCTACAATTGATAACATCAATATTTTCTTTAAATCACATAACACTTTAGGTTCCTTCTTAATCAAAACCAAAGATAGGATGAATACACTTGATAAAAGTGGTATTTACAAATTAAAATGTGATGAGTGTGATGCCTCTTATGTAGGTAGAGCCATCAGAAAGTTATTTACTAGAGTCTCTGAACATTTGAAAAGACCAAACTCTTTAAGTTTTGGTCAACACTTAGTATCCAGCAACCACAATTTTAACATCAATTCTGGTTCATATATCTTACATGACATTAGTAGAAAGAAAAACTATTTTGAGTTGGATTTATTGAAAGATTTGGAGATTACAAGGGAAACATATGAAAACTCTCACTGTCTTAATACTCAAATTAATTTAAATTGTACTAAATTTAATCCTATATTTAAAAAACTTTATTACAGCTTCACCTCGTAGAGGACCCAGCTCGACTGTTTAGACTTCATGCACTGAGCATTTCGATATTAATTTTAAAGTTCTTCCATTGACTGTGGATTCAACTGAACTACTTAGATTATAACCCATTTATATATTTTGCTTTCAATTTTGATTTTAACTTTTAGTAATTTAACTGCATATTCAGATTTTTCCTTTTTTACAGTACTGATAGCGCTTGGTGGACCATTTTATTGTAGTCAACCATCCACTGTCTAATATATTGTTTAGTCTTTTTCTTACATTCATACTTTATGTCAACTTCAATTGCTCTCAAACAATCATCCTAATAATTATAGACAGGTTTGAGTGTGAGATTTGGATTATTCAATCTACATAAAAAAATATACAATCTAATTTTATATTTCATTAGTTGATTTCCTATAGTGGTGTCAGTTGGACCTTTGGTCAATAATTAGTTTCATAGAATTTTGAAATGTGCAGATCACATATCTATTGTAACTCCCCTGTACAAGCTGTCATTTGTCATATGTCATCTCAATATTTCCGTCAGACCGGGAGCCATTCTGTCTCCGGTTTCTATATAACATGTAGCTTCTCAATTTTTAAAAATTTTAAAGTGTTTGTTTGTCTTTGTGTATTGTATTGTTATGTCCAAATTTACATGTATGACATTCTGCTCATGCCGGATAGGCCACAACTGACGAAGTAAGTCTATAAACGTTTATCACATAAAAACTTTTTTCAACCATAAACTTCGAGTTTTTTATCGAAGTGAAATAATTTTCCTTTTTTATAAAAAAACGTTTCTTGGCTTATTTCAGATGCCCCTGAGGATGATCTATTGATCGAAAGTACTTGGGCAAGATTTAATTAAAAACTGTGTTCGATATTTGCCTTGTATTCCATCAAGGTTCAAATATGTCAAAGACACAGGTACAGGAATTCTTTAAATACAAAATAGAAATCTTTTGTACACAGAATTTTGAAAGTAAGGAAAGTAAGTTTTTAGTAAAAGTTGGGGTAGATAATAATCTTAATGTTTAGTTATATTGCTATATCGAGACTTGCAAACAAAAAGAAAGAAATTATTTATAAAATTGAAAATACCACATGATATAAGGTTATGACGACAGCGAGTGTGTTTACTGAGAAATAGGGTGTGAAGTGTATGATTTTGCAATGCTGGAGGAGATTTTACTCTGTTCTAAAGTTCTGAAGAAGCTAGTTATTTTGTTGCTTCATAGCCTACAGTAAAAGCAAGCAGAGTTACTTGTAAATAAAAATTGTGTATAGTGTTTGATATGCAAAAAGCTAAAGGAGTGCTAGCAGTTCAAAGCGGAATTTACATCCTGTAGTAAGTAAAATAGGTGTAACATATATGTAGTGCTAATTGGTGAAGTAAAAATACTTTCGATTAATAAGAAAGTGTGTTCCTGTGGGATGTGTGTTTATCCATGAAGGTGTTTTGAAGAAACTGTAGCGGCGTTAGTGTGTGTGAGAGACTTTTACCAGCTTAGGAGAACAGGGGTGAGTGAAGCATTCAAGAATACGAGCAGTAGATGTTTAGAGCACAGTCGGAAGAGAAAAGGAACCAATAGAAAAATTGTGTAAATAATATGGTCAGTCTGATATACAATAAAAAAGTACTTTCAACTACACTCGTAACGATATCATAACTAATTTACTTCTTTTAACATTTTGTTTAGATATTCGCTAAATAAATATAGAATTTAATTAAAAGATCATTTTTTGCGTACAAGTCATAACATGTATTGATAATTTGTGTATGAACATTAGAGAATTTTTAGGTTTAATTATACGTATCAAAGTAATATGTTTGGTTAAATTATAAATTTATTTGATCGAATAATTTAAAAGTAATTTTTAACAATTATTTGATAAGCAATGGAAAAAATCAACAAGAGACAAAACAATTCATGAATGAAAATCAACAGGACACAAAAAAGGCAATAAAGAAAACAACAAAAATATAGAGAGTATCAAAAAGAAAATGGTACAGAAAATTAGATTATAGGAAAAAAAAAGAGATTATAGAAAAAGTAAGAAACAGGAAATAGAGAATAAAGACATTAAAAAACAAATAATGGAAATCAAGACTGCCTAGAGATAAAATTTAGAAGAGATAGAAAGCAAATTTGAAAAAGCAATACAAGAAGACAAGCGAGAAATAGAAGAAAGAATTAAAATCAATAAAAAACAAATTGCAAAAATATGTTGGATACTTATAGGATAAAAGGAGATACTTATACATAACAAAGGGGAGGTAAAAATGAATTTTGGCGGAGATGTTAGAAAATTGCACCTGGTTCCTTTTATCAAAAATCTCAGAAAAAGTTACAATTTGTGGAAGATTTTAAAACATGTAAAGAAACGATTAAAAATTATTTTAAGAATGAAGCCAGTCTATGGTTTGATAACAAAGAAGACGCATTTTATAATTGGAAGAATTTCGAAAAAAGATTTCTAAATTATTTATGAAACAAGATCTAGCAACTTTAAATTAGCAAGACACTAGAGAACGGGAGATATAACGACAAGAAAGGAATATCGAAAAAAAATATGTGTTGCAAAATTATAACAATGCCGAACATTTGGAATAAAACTATTCATCAGAACAACTGGTAGAACTAATTGCAAGACATTTCGAAAAAAAAAACCTTGAAAAATCATGTTACTTTGCAAAATTATAAAGATTTGTGTCAGTTCTTGCAAATAAGAGAATCGCGTCTACGAGACAGACAAGGAAGAAGAACGAAAGCAAGTACAAAGATTAGGACAAAGTTATCGTGAAAAAACGCCACCAAGATAATTTTCTCCGAGAAAAGAATATAAGTACCGAGAAAACAAAAGATAAAATTACGAGCCAAGAAACCAACAACAGAACAGAGACAGAGTCAGGGAAAATCGTAATAGTAACACTTTACAAATTCTAGAGAAAATAACAATTACAGTGGAACAAATAAACAAGGTTTTTGGGACAACAGATACAACTCATGGCCAACACATAAATAGAAGTGACCTAAAACGGTTTTTACTACAGAACAACATTATTATTATAATAGCTTTGTTTGTATTGAAAAAACTATATATATATTATATATATATATATATATATATATATATATATATATAATATATATATATATATTATATATATACACACTCAAAAATGTTTTGCATATTGCAATATTTTCAAAATTATCCACCAAATCTGGTGAAATCTATTTTTTTGTAACAAAATACTTTATTATATATAAAATTGTTTGTTTTGAAAAAAAAAACAATAAACAAAATTCAAAGAATTACCAATTTATTATTATTATTTATAATAGGTATTATAAATATATTTTTTTAAATTTGTACAGATATAGGAACTAATACTTAATATGCCGTATTTCCACCTCTTGCATCAATGCTAGACTAAATGCGATGTCCCATGCTTCTAATAAGTGTATTAACGTAGTTCTGATCCATGGTGCCCCATTATTCAATCGCTGCTATTCTAAGGTCTTGTAGTGTCCTTGGGAGTGGCTGCCGGGACTGAATTTTTCTTTTGAGCATATCCCATCCGTGCTCAACGGGATTGAGGTCAGGTGAGCAGGGTGGCCATTGTAATCTAACGATATCTTCTGTCTCTAAAAAATCTGCTACATGTCTCGTACGATGGGGAGGCGCATTGTCGTCCATAAAAATAAATTCTGGACCAACAGCTCCTCGCCACAAGCGTACAACAGACCTAAGAATGGTAGTAATATAAATTTGTCCATTCATGTTACCAACAATAGGAATTAAAGGAGTTTTATTATTTAGCATGATGCCGCCCCAAAACATTATGGAGCCACCTTGATATGGGACTCTTTTTACAGCTTGCTTAAGTCTATCCTGTCGATTTGGGTTCCTCCAGATCCTAATTCGGCGATTATCCGACAAAAGGCTAATTTTGGTTTTATCAGAAAATAAGATGTTTCCCCATCTGTTGTCATGCCATTGTAAATGTTCATTGGTCCATTGCAGTCGAGTCCTTTTCTGCTCTAATGTAAGATTTGGTACAAAAAATGGTCTTCTTGTAAATAAATTCGCCGAATTTAACCTATTTCTAATAGCCTGATCGCAAATTACAATATTATTAGCTTGCTGGAGCTCTCTTCTAATAGCTGGGGCAGTCATAGCGGGGTTTCTCCTGGCAGTTAACGTTAAAAAGCGTTCTTGGGCATTGGTAGTAATTCTGGGTCTTCTGCTTTTTGGACGATCGCTAACAGAATTCGTCTCTCGATATTTTTTCACAATCCGAGACACATCACTCTGAATAACTCCAACCCGGACAGCAACGTCGGCTTGTGTGTGGCCTTCCTCAATCAAAGTAACGATTCTAGCTCTGTTAAACTCAGATATCACTTGTCTATTCATATTGTTTACTACAAAGTGAATAAAACGCAAACCAATTTTTACAAATATCAATTTTCGAAAACTGATGAACACAAAATGAATACTAAGAATCTCTGCGACGATTAAAAAACAAAAAACAAGCAGTAAAATACATTATTTTAGTAGACAAAAAAAAAATCAGTGCAAAAATTTTTAAATTAGAAACGTTCAGTGGCGTTACAGAAAATATGCAAAACATTTTTGAGTGTGTATATATATATATATATATATATATATATATATATATATATTTATAGTAGGCATTTTTCTAAAATTTATTTTATTTCCAGTATAGAACAAATAAGTTGTGGCTATCAAGGATCTGGGTTAGTTTGTTGTCCTCATGTAGGAGACTCTCTAACTCTGGCACCTGGAAGGCTAGTAGATGGTCAGAGATGTGGAATATCACAAGTTCAAGGAGAAGGCTACGAAGGTATTGGAGCTTTTCCGTGGGTTGCGAGGATAGGATTTAGAAGTAAGTACAATTTTACTAGCAGATCTTTTGCAAAATATGTCAAATTATGGAAAAAACAATTTTAAGATCAATGGATATTTTGTTTTTGGTTAATTTCTTTAACATAATGCCATTTTTTTTTATTTTAAAACTAAATAAAAGTAATCTTATGAGTTCACCTATAAAAGATTTTTGTTCCCAATTGATTTGTTAAACTAACTTAAAAAAAAGTGTGGTAACACTTTGAAAAATAAAAACTCTAAAAAAACTCCCTTTTTATCATCTTATTCATGGCAAAAGAAGTTAATAATCTTTACTTAATAATCTCTGCTTAGTTGATAATCTTGGTACTTTAGCCAACGTCGTTTTCAAAAAAAATATGAACGGATGACGCTGCCAGCCCAAAATCTATACCAAACATGGGCTTTCGCAGCATGTGTTTATCAAGTCACAACGCCAAACTAACCAAGTTGCTGTCGGTGAAAGACAGAGTTCTTGTGAGCAACGTGAAATCAACTGACTCGGATTTTCTCACACACTCTCGGTGACAGTGGCAGTGTTTTCGAGAGATCTTGTATTGCATTAACGTAAAGGTGTTTGTTGATTGTTTACTGATATAGATTAAAAAAAATTAATATTTTGCTTTGTCAGGAATGAAAATAAATGGTAATAATAGGGCCAAACAAGTTGTCAGATAAATATATACCTACGCAGCTAAAATATTTTACCTCTTAGCGGAATTCCAAATACATACTTTTAAATAAAAGTTATTTTAAAATATTTCAGATGTACTCACTGGAGAAATAAAATATCCATGCACCGGATCTATTCTTAATGCGAGGATAATACTTACAGCTGCTCACTGCGCTCTAGCAAAAGCGGATAATTTTAAACTGTAAGTTTTATTTATTTACTAAAGTACACTTTCTAAATACGGCCTTTATGTTTCCCCAGAGTAGACAATTATCTCTTTGGCTTTAACTGCAGCACACAAAAAATAATAATTTTGCATGATTACAAAGATTTGTTTCTGTGATTAGAATTTAAATACTACTTCTGTATTTTTTTTGTACATACTTATGAAGTTTCTATTTTATTAATTGTTTATTTAGTAATAATTTACTGAAAAATATTTTGAGATTATTAAAGTAGATTGATAAATTTGATAATTTGATCATTTAAAACTTTGATAAATTATCAAGTATCAACATTATAAATTTTATTTAGAGGTAAGGTCTGAAAATACATTTATTCATTTATTACTCATTTTAGATATTCAGTCCGTGTTGGAGAATATAATTCTAATACTGATATTGACTGTGGTACTGAATTTTGTGGACTTCCTGCTCAAGACATTTCTTTGAGTCACGTTGTGGTACATCCCAATTATCAAAAACAAAACTTTCAAAATAATATCGCTTTACTTGTATTAAGAACGCCAGTCAACTTTTCGGGTAAGTAAATAACCCTTGTTTTGCTTACCAATGATAAAAATCTTGATGAAGCATTATCGTAAAGTAATATTATTAATCTTTATTCAATATAATTCATTAATATTGTTTTAAATAGTAGGGACATTCCAAAGTAACACTTCTTGACATTTAACCCAAGAGTGCCAGAATTTAATTTTTACCATGTTGTCGATTGAATAAAATAAAATGATTGGTTAAATAACTTAAATTTAATAAATTTTATGGTATAATAAAAATCTTTATTGAACTGAAGTTAAAAAACGGTGTTCTTCTTCTTAGAGTGCCGTCTCCCTACGGAGGTTGGCAATCATAGAGGGTATTTTTATTTTAGAATTTGCTCTTCTAAACAAATCAATCGATCCGCATTGATACCAATCATGTAGATTCTTTAACCATGAGTTCTGCCTTCGGCCATCAGATCTTCTGCCTTGAATCTTTCCCTGTATTATGAATCTCAAAATTTCAAATTATGGTCCCCTCATCACGTGGCCTAGATATTCTAGTTTTCTGGTTTATATAGTGGTGATTAGTTTTGTTTCTTTACCAACCCTCTTCATTACTTTCTTTATTTGTAATTCTATCAGTCCATGATATTTTCAATACTCTGCGGTATAACCAGAGTTCGAAGGCCTCGATTCTCTTTAAATTACATTGTTTTAATGTCCGTGTCTCAACTCCATATAATAATATTGAAAATATATAACAGCGAATGGTACGAAGTCTGATCTCCAAATTTAGATTTTTGCATGTTAGTAGTGGCTTCAATCGTATAAATCCTGATCTGGCAATCTCTATTCGCCTGTTTATTTCTTCAATATGATCATTGGTTTCATTGATTAAAGTTCCCAAGTACTGATATTTTACTACTTGTTCTATCATGTTACCATTGACTGTCAATAGGTGATGTATATTTTGTGGTCTTTTTGTAATTATGTTATTTTTTACTCGTTGGTATTATCACAGTGTCGTCTGCATATCTTAAGTTGTTAATTATCTTTCCATTAACAGTGACTACCGCTACGATATTATTGAGCGTATTTTGGAAAATTTCTTTAGAATATAAGTTAAACAAAAGTGGCGATAAAATACATCCCTGTCTAACTCCACTACAGGTCCTCATTTCTTCTGAGTGTTGCTCACAAATTTGAACTATGGCACTTTATGTTTGCACTATATTTATGTTTTCACTGTCAATGCGCTTGTTTAGAAGTATTGATATTAGTTTTTCCTGTCTTACTTTATCGAAAAAACATTTACATCCCGACATCGCTAAATCAATATGTTAATGGCAAATAGCTTCTTGAGTACCCATTCCATTTCGGAATCCGAACTGCGTCTCGCTAATATCCTCCTCTAGCCTTTCGTATATTCTCTTAGGTATTACTTTTAGTAGAACTTTTAAAGTATGACCTTTGAGGCTCAGTGTTCGATATTTAGAGCACTCTTTTGCTGCTTGTTTTTTAGGGATGGTTATAAATACTGACTTTAGCCACTTTTGTGGTATTATTCTTGTATGGTACACCGTGTTGAATAAATATGCGAATACTTCTAAGTTATCTTCTTAAAACAGTTTTAACAGTTCTACTGGTATTTGATCTAATCCAGCTGCCTCATTGTCATTAGAGTTTTTGATAGCGTATTTGATTTCATATATCGTGATCTGTCTCTCTAAAGGATTTAATTCTTGTATATTCTGCATTTCACCTCTTTCATCTTGGAAAAGTTCTCTAACGTACTCCTCCCATCGCCCTAACTTCTCTGGTCAATATATTAGTAGTATTCCATTTTGTCTTTTATTTGTCCTTGCTGTCCATGTGGTTACATATACAGAGTGACCCAAAAGTCTGGAAACGGCCAATTATCTCGTAAATTGCTAGTTATAATTGTACAAAATTTGAGGTACACCTATTTTGGGATACGGAGATTCCATATTTAATATTTGCAATGTTGCCAGAGTTGCCGTTTCTCTGATATTATTAGTAACTTTGGTTTTTCAAATACATTACCCTGTATATTCAGTCATTATTAGAATCTTCTATTCAATACAAGTTCAACTATATGTAACACTTATGATTTTTTTATAGTCTGGAAGGTCTTAAATACATAAAACAGAAGTCTGCCAACGCCTAATTGTTTCAATAAATTTTTTGATACTAATTATTTTCAACTAAATTAAAACGTAACAATTGATAGATTAGACCATTTTTTAACAATAGTTACGTTATTAAGTGTTCAAAATGTGCTCAATTTGTGAGTTAACAGTACCGTAATCGATGGTAGAATGCGTCTACCACATTTATCCATGATTGTCTAAAAATTATTTGAGATTAATCGATAATTCGTTGCCTTTGCTCTGCAAGACTTGGCTGGTTAAGTTTGTAAACTGAATTTTTTAAGTATCCCTAATAAAAATAATCTTTAGAATTAAAATCGGCTGAACGTGGAGGCCATTCAATTCTACCTTGTCTACCAATAATCCGTACGATAAGTACGGATCATATCTCATCTAAATAACGCCGAACATTTACACCAACTATCTGACGTCAAATTTCCTTAGATAAAAAATGACCCAATTGACTAAGTACCTACCATACCTGATCATACATTTAATTTTTGTGGTCTGGTATGGTTTTTACGCATTCAGTGTGAATTTCATACGAGTTCAACTATTCAATTCAAGTTCAAAAATATGTAACACTTATGATTGTATGTAGTCTGGAAGGTCTTAAATAGATAAAACAGTGCAAAATATGTAGATTTTATTAAACTTAAATATTTAAATGTAGAATGCTATATTGACAGTTGTTCACGATTTACATAATAAACAAAAACTGACAGTAGTTGTGTTTCGAAAAGTTCTGCAATTTAAATTGCTTCTCTAAAATGCCGTTCTCTAAACCGTTCTCCTATTCATAAGGCGACGGTACAAAAAACTGTAAAGCGATTTGAGAAATCTGAAGAAGGTAAAGATAGATGGAAAGAGAAAAGTTTTGTTGAAGATCCACATACATCCTCAGGCAGGGTTGCACAAGTACATAATGTAGGTCGTTCTTCAGTCTTACGTATATTACGTAAAAATAAGTTTAAACCATACAAAATAAACTTATTGCAAGAATTAAGTGAAGATGACTTTGATCTTAGATTAGAGTTTATTGAGGTAATGATGGATAAAATTGAAAATTATTAAAATTTCGTTAACAGAATATGTTTTCCGATGAAGCAATCTTTACACTGTGTGGAAGTGTAAATCGACCCAATTTAAGGTACTGGAGTGACGCAAATTCACACTGAATGCGTGAAAACCATACTCAAAGACCACAAAAATTAAATGTATCGTCAGGTATAGTAGGTACTCAGTCAATTGGGCCATTTTTTTATCGAAAGAAATTTAACGTCAGATAGTTGGTGTAAATGTTCGGCGTTATTTAGAGGAGATATTTCCCGGACGATAAATTGGTAGACAAGGTAGAATTGAATGGCCTTCACGTTCAACCGACTTCAATCATAAAGATTATTTTTATTAGGATACTTGAAAAATTCAGTTTACAAAACTTAACTAGCAAGTCTTGCAGCGCTAAGGGAACGAATTTATCAATGAATCTTGAATTGTTTCTAGACCATCATGGAGAAATGTTAAAGACGCATTCTACCATCGATTACGGTACTGTCAACTCATAAATTGAGCACATTTTGAACACTTAATAACGTAACTCTTCTTAAAAAATGTTCTAGTCTATCAATTAATACGTTTTCATGTAGTTGAAAATAATTAGTAATAAAAAATTTATTGAAACAATTAGGCGTTGCCAGACTTGTGTTTTATGTATTTATGACCTTTCAGACTACATAAAATCACAAGTGTTACATATGGTTGAACTCATATTTAATAGGAGATTCCAATAATGACTAAATATACAGGGTGATGTTTTTAAAAACCAAAGTTACTCATAATATAAGAGAAACGGAAAATCTGGCACCATTGCAAATATTAAATATGAAATCTCCGTATTCCAAAATAGGTGAACCTCAAATTTTGTACAATTATAACTAGCAATTTACGAGATAATTGGCCGTTTCCAGACTTTTGGGCCACTCTGTATGTAACGCTAGGCACTACGGTGAACAAATTTGACATAATATAATAAATTTTTCCCATATTTTTTGTGAAATATAATTACAGTACAAACATAAGCCTGCATCACATTTTGCATACATTGTTCTCGTCTTTGAAGAACAGTTGTCACCAGCACACCGTCTTCTTTTATTATTTGGAACATAAACTAACAAATCATTTTGACCATCATATCTAAGATGATCTGAAATTCTGTTTTTGGAGTTACTAAATTTAGACGGAGCTAGTCTTCTGGGTCCTTTTTGTTTGTTTTCAAGTTTTTGGAGATAAAACTGGGCTATATTTCTTCGGAAAGCTAGCTGTGGTAATTGGTCATCGTGACTTTTTTTATATAATATCCAGGCATTATTAATTGCTAAATATACACCACCACGTCGGTCAGATAGCTAAGCGGGCTGAGCGGCCAGTTTTTCATTTGCTTCACTGCGAGTAATTCAGTAGATGTGAGTTCGATCCTCAGCTCGGCGTGCAGAAAACAAAAAGCTAACGCAGCAGTTTAAAATTCTAGATGAATCTGCGGCTTAGACCAGAATATGCTGGTGTCTGAATGGCCTATGGTGAAGCAGTACGACAAGAGATAAGGATTTGCGGCTCGGTGATACTCCTCGATAAATTCCTACCGGAAGGGCGTATCCCCCAAATACTGGTGTATATAATATAATATACACCACCACTATTTTCGGGATCGGATACCAATTCTGTAACATGATATGTTTTGGTCTATTAAATCTGTTCCTCCCATGGAGTTATTATACTTCCCAATTAAGTCTGGTCTGGATATGTTAATGTATTTTTGTTCCTTTTTACTATATCTCTTTACCTGACTAAGCGAATTGATACCACAACTTGG